CGTTTCATCGACTAATAACACATGCCCGAGGTATGGCGTTTCTGATATTTAAAAATTCCTAAATGAAAAAATCTTTTCGTAACCTGAACTGTAGTGTATTTAGAATTATCTACAATTGTGGATACGATTAAGGGACTGATTCAGCAAACCGCAAGTTGTGATAGCTGCGCCACGTTCTATTTCATATGGTTGTGGATATTCACCTTTTTTCGTCCTCACCCACATCTTTACACTACGTAGATTGATTATCAAAACATTAACCTCAGTGAGTCTGGGATTCGGAAGTACAAACACCCAGAACAATGAATCCGGCCTCGGGATCCGGGATATTTTCTGCAGGTGTCGCTGCGTTTCAGAACGTTCCCACCAGGATCCGCCCGGAATGCACACGGCAAATGGAAGCAGTATTCCGGGGTGGAAAGTACCGTACCGGATCCTTCGCCTTCTTACAAAATCCATTATACAGGATCACCTTGGAACAAAGTCATATCTACGACGGAATCCTTACGGAAACTAATAGTATCCAGCTGAAAACCGTTTAGAATTGTGCCATATCTACGCAAGAAAGCAAGGGGCAGTCCAGATTTTTTTCGATATTTAACACTGACCACAAAGGAACACCGTGGAAATCTCCGGAAAAGCCGTAACTATTTCCAAGCAGGGAACTGGCGACTTTTCCAGCGCTGTCCGCAACTTTCCAATGCTTCCACAGAGTAAACGACTAAAACCGACTACCGGACCTGCCACAGCCCAGCACAATTCTGTTCTGCAGGAACGATCATATCCCACCATAACCCGCTGGAAATGCATTAATAGCACATTTTCTCGCGAAGTCCTTGAACATCGCTGCATCCCAGTACCTCGAACGCATTTACGATGTATTCACCTATCAATGCTAGCAATTCAAAACTAATCTAAAGTGAGTGCTGCACCTAACAAACAAGAATACCCTGAAAAAAACGCAGCACTTCAATAATTAAACATCACGATCACTATGCCACATACAATTTAAATTCACCCATCCCTGCAACCGCTTCCACACGATGGTGGCAGCAAATAGAGCAGCAGCCACTGAATCAGCGCTGTTTCAGTCGAGGTCTTTGCGGAAAAATGATATTAAACGAAATATTATATAGCTGGAATTGAGCAATCAGAACGATTGGCCTAGTAGCTACATTATTTTGCTGTGTTTAATGTTTCATTTTGAGATTCGTTAAGAACTCGAAGCCGGTGATAAATTGTCAGCACTCTTTCACTGGGATAATTCGTTGAAATATGAGTTAGGAACCGAGTTGAGGAATTGGCAGGAGTAGTTTGAAAACGCCAGTAGGATTCCATTCGGAATTGTAACGGAAAAAATCCGTAGGAAACCGAATCATTTATGTTCGCTTCCTTGGATGGCCGATTGTTGGGATCGCAAACGGAATGAGTTGGATTTTTTCCTTCCTTTCCGGTTGGATATGACGGGAAAGAGGTTGGAAAAATCCGGGAATGCCGTCACGAAATACTGCGTCCGTGAAATCATAGAAAAGCTCCGTGAATCTAGCTTTTTTGAGCCGGTTTGTTCGACCTGGGCATGAATCTTCTTTCTGATTGCAGTTGGGAGCCAATGAGTCAATGGACTACTTGCGTCTAATATGCATCATTAATCCCTTAGTAAGCATGGCCTTTTTTTACTTTCGTTGCCATCGAACAGTTAGATTAAAATGATATACATTACTAAATAATCAGCGAAAATTTTCCTGCTGTCTATGTTCTTATTTGAAAACTGAAAATAAACGGAAGGAGACGGTATGCAACGAATAAATATTTGTTTGTGCATCATCGCGTTCTTTTTTCTGTAGGTAAGAAACGGAAAAAAAAGAATGAGAACGACGAAGAAAAAATTTCCACGCGTACTTTGCGATCAATCAATCAGAAAATCGTAATTGATAGACAAAATAAGAAAGGAAATTAGAAGATTCAGTGCAAGTAAAACTTTAAAAAAATGAATTTTTTACTCATTTTACTTGGAAATAATTCTTTACATTCAGTTATTACTCATCTTACAATGAACACATTTTTATAATGTCAAACGTTTGACAACACTGCTATATTACTGTAGTCAATACTCTGATGAGACACACACAATAGATATATTAAATATGTTTACTTTTAGGATACGATAAAAAATGAACTGCTTTTATTTTTAACGAAAACATTATTCTTCTTCTTTGAAAGACCTCCCTTGTATTCATGAACATACTTATATTATAATGATTGGATATTTACTGTTGAAAATATTTGTTTTTAATAGTGTTCTAACCTTTTTTAATAATTGCATGCGATCTACGTTATAGCAGCTATCATTTTTAATATTGCATTGTTGTTACTCCACATATTTTCAGAGTTGAACAGGATCATTTGTATTACAATAAAGATGAATATAATAGATCAGTATTGAATAAATATTTTGGTATAGACTGTATTGAAAATATTTTCGTAAAGCGTATCTAATGAAGCCAGTTATTCAGGCATTATTGTCATAGTCACTAATATCGTGTTTGAAAAAAATCATAGTATGTCATGTCTTCTGAATCGTAGGTGTCGGCGTAGGTGTAATATGTATATAAATGCAGCTTACAATTTTTTCTCATCTAATAAGTATGATAGTGTTTCACAACTGCACCTCAACTTCTATGGTAAATATTTGACCGTGATTTCTTTATTGGACTTCTGACTAATGTTATTTTTCTTGTTCTCTTTCCCTTAGTTACACTTAATCAGTATGAGATAATAATGACGTCAACAACTAACGTCATAACGTGAGTCAGAGCGTAGAAACAGAACAGCAACGAGCATGAATGGAAATCTCGTGTAGTTATTCAATTTTCAATTATGAATTTATGATGTTGTATTACAATGGGTGCATGTGGTCATGAATGTATTTGAAAGAACGATCTACATCCATGAAAAGCAACAAAATATATTCATATCACTTATTGCAATCTTCTGTATGTGCTATATCGATTATAATATGCTATGTTGAAGTACTTCTTTTATACCATGGGTTTCTTTTTTTACTCTCTTAAAGATTAACATTGCAGTGGAATTTTCCACATGAGCAAATATTACAAAGGGATTTTCCTTTTTATGATTTTTATTGGAAGTTTTCTCTCTGCCTTCACTGGGAGGGAGGTTTTAATCTCGTAAATATTGCGGTTTTTATGCTAGAAGTATTTATAAACCTTCAAAAATAGTTATAGGCGCAGAGTAAGTTAACTAATTTAGTTCACCACAGAGCTATTTTCCTTCCAATTTCGAGCTCTCATATCGTAAGTAAACACCTTTTAACTCTTCCAGCGTAGTCGAACAATTGAGCCGAGTGATGTCATAATATCCTTACACCCGGTAACGACTTATTAGCACAAACACGCTACAGTATCCACATTAGGTGCATCCACTTTTGGGTATCTACATATATATATATATATATGTAGATACCAAAAAGTGGATACCCAAAAGTGGATACGCTTAATGTAGTTACATCAGGTTGTAAATGCACTAAGAATGGATACTCCATAAACTATTGCTGCATAGGGTATTGTGACGTAAAACTCTCGATACCCAGTGTAAAGGTATTATGACATCTATGATTGAGCCCTGTAATGCTGAGTTCCCTATTACATCTCTCATACCAAAAAAAAAACTTTCGATGTCGATCTGACTCAAATTGCTACATTCTCACATGTGACATTATATTAAAGATAGAAAAGTTCTCTTATTCGCTGATTACTTCAGACGTTCAAGTAACTACACTAGATAGTGTTTTTTCAATACTTGAAAAATCATCAATCAACTGCTAAGTTAGAAACAAATATTATTGTTCAAATCAGTTAACTGATTACTATATAATATCCGGAAGTGATAATGATAAGGTTATTATCCATTTGCCACGATGGGTACAATGAAATAGAATTGTTCTGCTAGATCATTAATAAGGAGTCAGTAATATAACAGTGTATTAAGATTGTTGATATACTTCGTATAACAATATAGATTTCTTATTGAATCAATTAAAGAGTATATGTTTAATATTTCAGAAAATATGAATCTTATTGGTATTTCTGTTGATGTGAACGAAGGCTGTAGTGGTTGATCAAGTAGGTTTTACGTATTTTTATCAGTATGAAAGAAGGGAAAATGGAATGGGTCCTTTGTTCAATGATTTTGACTTGACAATCTCCTCACGAGTAATAGTTTTATTATTATCATCAGTTTTCGTTCGAAAGAGAGCAGCGCCATCTTTTCTAAATCTCGTATCATACACGATAATTTTATGTACGCATGTTGCAGAATCATATTTATTAGCCAATCGTCGTTTTTTCTAATTGGAAAAAACCCGAAAAGATAAATAAATAATATCGAAAAGAACATTCTAACAGCAAGGATCTATGTAATAGTAACAAAGTATCCATGATTCTTGCTATATCAAAATAATACTCTGTTGTACACCATTGCTCATAAAAAAAATATTCAGCAAACATCTGCTGAGAAAAAATTGACAATTTGCTTTTCATTCTATGAAAATTGAACTTCTCGTCTTTTTTTTCCATCATTGATTTATTTCTTTTTTTAAAATTATCTCTGAAATAGTAAATACTATACTATATTATATTTAATTTTTATTTAATAATAATACATATAACTAAAATGTATCTATTTGAATCTGAATAGAGCAGTCTATGGCTTCGAAACTTCGACATTTTGTTGAAAAAACGAAGTATCATATTGCACTTTGTAGGTAAATATACTATGTAATTTGGCACTTTGTTTTAGATGTTTTTTCTTGGATCAAACGATTCGAGTGGGGAATGTTATTTGCGAGTTTTAAAGCGTCAAATTCTATTTCATAAAAACGAATCATTAGAAACAAGTTGAAATTGTTATAAAACACGATGTTGATGTAGCTTGAGTTTAGAAACATTTACATTCTGATTAGTTTTCAAAATAAGTTTATTATGTATAATAGTGTTCTCAAACAGCGTTGTCTTTGCAATAACGATGTCATATTTTTAATAGGTTCAACTGCATTAATAAGCTACAATCCCTCAATTTCAACACCGACACAAGTTTGCTGCATTTGATATTTTTATTACTCTAAATTAAATTCATGATTTAGCTGTATACCCGACGCATGGGCTTCAATGCAAAAAATAAGCATGCCATTGATTCGGTATACATCTGCCAGATATGCGATCTGATTTTACGAGACCCTGTTCAACTTAACTGCGGAGATCGCCTCTGCAAATCATGCGTTGAAGCGAAAGAAGGGTAAAACTACTCGTTTAAGTTGTTTTAGGTCTTAATTGAGTTTTACATTTTCAAGCGAAAAAATTCAATGTCCAGCATGTGGCGAGCAATCAGACAAAAAAGATGTGAGAATTTTAAATGTATTTGAACTCAAGCAATATCTTGTGTTCTTTAGGTACTTCTCGATAGAGGTTACAAAAATGATATGCAGACATTGCCTATCGAATGCACTCATTGCAATTGGCACGGATCGCTAAAACAGTATCAGGTATAAAATCAAAAACATATTGGAAAAATTGTTTTATGAGATGTATTTTAACTTTACTCCGAATCACTTGAATACTATAGTTGAAGATATTTTGTTCATTGAAACAGTTACACAATTTGATTGGAGCGTTTTTATTAAACAATTTTTCCAATTACGAAAACATCGAATGATGTTCAGTGAGATTAACAGTGACAACTCGACTGCTCGCGGCTAGATTTATTGAATAGTTCATTGACGATAAAAAAAGTTTTATTTACTAGACAAAACATGAAAATCAACTTTGAGTGGCCTAAAACCGTTGACCTATTGATCATCTATGCTAAAAGAAATGTTCAGGCATATGCAAAACGTTATTTACATAAAGGTGTAAGTATACTAGCATTGATGTGTATTCTAATTTGAAAAAGTTCTATTCCAACACTTCATCAAAATTGGGTCTTTCCGTTCTAATGAATATAAATTAAAAATTCTACAGCTATTTCAATCAACTTTATTATTCTAAGGATCACATAGTACAACCTCATCTAAATGTGAAATGTGAATATTGCGGCAAGACATGTGATTCAATAAGTAATCTTGATGTACATAAAGTAAATGAATGTACTAAAGTTACTGAAATGTGTAGTCTCAAAAACTACGGATGTTCAATCCCTGTAAGTGCAACAACGTTAACGAAAATGATAGTTTCACTTCATGTATCTCTGTTCTAGATCATTAAAGGCCAAAAATATGAACATTATATGACTGAACAACATCAAATAGCGATAAACTATTATATATGCCGTAATGTATCGAAATCTCGTGTTGATCAGTTTGACAGAGTCTACGGAATGGATACTGATACGCCTTCTCATACAACCGCCTCGTCATCTGACGATAGAAATGTTCACTTACAAGAATTATCTGAAACAACTGATATTCTGGCTGGTGGAGGTTCAGCATTGAATGAGGACTGTCAAAGACTTACTAATGAATCGGTTTCTATAAAAACTGCGTTGGATACATTGAGTCGTGATTTCGCAGCATTGAAATTAAGTATTGAAGAGCAGAATAAATATTTGGATAACCTTAAACCATGTTCGGATCTTCTCGATCACCAGGTTTCAATGCTGAAAAAAACTCTTGAAGATTTACGATTTGTTTCCTTTGATGGAACATTTTTATGGAAAATAACGAATTTCAGTAGTAAAATGGGTAAGAATTTTCTCCATAAGATTGATTTATCATGAGTAAATTTCTATTCTAGCCGATGCACAGGCTGAACGACAAACATCAATTTATTCACCACCTTTCTATTCATCTCCTACTGGCTATAAAATGCGAGTAAGATTGTACCCAAACGGGGATGGAAGTGCTCGTCACACACACGTCTCCCTCTTTTTCGTTCTTATGCGAGGCGAATATGATCCGATTTTGAAATTTCCGTTCAGCTATAAAGTTACGTTTTGCTTATACGATCAAACACCTGCACAACAACATATCATCGATTCGTTTCGACCTGATATCAAGTCAAATAGTTTTCAACGACCACGATCCGAGATGAATATTGCAAGTGGCATTCCAAAATTTTGCCCTTTGTCAGTAATTCAACCAGAAGCAAATTGTTATGTTCGCGATGATTCAATATTCATTAAAATTATGGTGGATTTTGGTGATACGCCGAAAGCAATGTTACCATTTGCACTAGGTCTCAATCCAGCTTTTTCAACTAATGTCCAACAAATATTGATTCATCAAGAAAAAGAGAAGCGGGCTCAACAAACTTCCACATCATCAACAACTGAAACAATCTTACCGCATTGAAAACGTTGATTTCAACTCACAAATAGTAAACCGGGATATCCTGTGACATGACTTCAGTGTTGTATTAGAAAATCCTTTCATCTGTGAATAAGACTGGTCATCATGTCGTAATTTGTATTCAAAAGAAGAATAGAATAAATTCACAAAAAGAATTCTAATTGATGCTTCTTTTTTTCTCTAAAATTTACTTTGATTTATCGTGATTGTTTTTTTGACATTCTCACTTTTTCTTTCATGTGTGCTTATCCAGTGACTGTTCTCGTTTCAATTAGATCGATACAGAGGTCAAATCGGTACAAATTGTCTTAACGTATGAATATTTTAATCCAACTATTAATTCTTACTAATCTAGGTTTTTCTTTTAATTGCGGTGAATCAAAATAGTTCTGAGATCAATAAATTTAAATTTAACAATTCGCAATTTTTAAAACTTTTTTTTAAAGATGAACAATTCGAATTTTTTTATCACGATTAGGCAGAGCTCAGTGAGTTATTGTTACAGATGTTGCTCCTGGTATATTCAATGAAGTTTTTTGTTTTATTTTCGAGAGGACAGGACAAATATTTGCATCGATTAGAACATTCAGTTTTCAAATCGAGTTTACCTTAAAGTAATAAGTGATAATGTTAAGAGAGAAAAAACGGAGTTGTTTTTGGACGTATTTGAATTCGTGTAGTATTTTTCTGTAGACTATTTCTAAATATGAATATGTGAAAAGCCACATTTTTAGATGTATTTCGGAAGTTTATATCTAATCATGAAAAAAACGTTTCGCTGAAGTTTCTACGTTACTCAATTATCATTCTTTCATACTTGAGTTTTTCTTCTTTTGTAAATTACTATTTATCCATGCAGTGTATTCATGAGTTTGTAAATGAATATATTTGAGTAGTTCTGTGTTTCTGCTGTTATGTTTTTTCCATAACAATATTAATTATTTTTAAAAAAGGTGTTGTTGTTAAAAGATATTTTCCTCTACTAAATTCAATAAAAATGTTCTCGAATCAATTTATATCTTCTAGATTTTTTTCGATTATCAAATTTCGATTTATTTTTATTTTCATTATATTTATTTTACTGCTAATCTCTTCAATGATAATTTAAGTTTGCAATATCAGTGATTACGAGATTCTAATTACTGATAAAAAAAATATAGCTCCATGCAATAAAGTGAAATGGTTTTGTGGAACAAACTTTGCCACATAAAATTTGAAAGAAATTCATAGTGAACATATTTATTTTGTTTCTATAAATTTGATAATAATCGAAGGGTATTTTTTGAGGAACATGAGTACTTTTAGATATTAGATGTGCATTTAGACTGCTGTAAATAAAAATCATTCTGTTGAATCTGTGCAATTTCGTTTTTAGTCTTTGGCTCAGATGTTATTGTTCTATAGCAAATTTCATACTTCAAATTCAATGCAAAACATATGGTTACAGCTTGATTGCGGACATTTTATTCCTCCAATTAAGAGAAAACGTCCGCAAAGTAGAAACAGGGGGAGAGAAACAAAAATAGTCGCAGAGTGGAAAAAGCCCGCAAAGCAGAATCGGGGCGAGAGGAGAGAAAAAAATGTCAGCATTATGGAATCAAGACAAGATTTATTAGGTGAAAAAAATACAGAAAAATCATTTATGAAGAATAGTTGAGCATCTAA